GAAATGGACTGCTTCACAGGACAGTTTGGAAACACAGAATGATCTCCATCTCAGTCGTGCGTACTTACTATCAGCTCTCATACGTATCAAAGCAAGTGCCAAGGAGACAGAAACTACAAGAAATAATTTATTATCCTAAAAACACTTGAATTTAAATAGCCTGTTGCCAGCCTGAAATTCCTAGTTAAGGATTCCCATGGTTCTGAGCCCCGGGACACAAGGTCCCCAGAAAACCTGCCGCTTCTCTGACAAGGCTCTCTGGAAAGGTAGGGACGGGACTCGGAAGGTTTGGGGTCAGTGAATTTTCATATCCAGTTTCAGACATGGAAGTCTTCGGGGCTTGTGCGTTCATTACATGGGCGAGTTCGCCAGGCGCTGCAAAGAGTAGTAAATGGTACTGATTAGGAAAACTGTCTCTGGATTTATAACCCAGATTTACAACTCACTAATTGCTTCAACTTAAATGAGTTCATCTCTCTAGGTCTCCGTCTCCTTTTCGGTGAAACAGGGATAAAATAGCTTCCTCGGAGTTTTGTCTTAGCCCAGAGCCCAACACATTATTCTTGTTTTCATCACTTCATTATTATTCCTTGCAATTCACTTTTACTCCTGGCCATAATTGTATGCACTCTTACCCACCATGCTCTGGTGGCCGGTTCTTTCTCTCCACTTCACCTGCCCTCTTCCGTCCCCCACCTCCACCTCCGCACACCCCATACTTTTTCAGTTTCCTGTTTAGGGTTACAGGTGCAGAGTCCTCTGTCTAGATCTATTGCCTGTGACTTTCACTCTCTGGGGAGCAGGAAGTACCTCGAGCCGGTGTATGTAAAGACATTAGAATAACCACATGTTTTACTTGTAAGCCAAGATTTTCACAGAGAGCCCTTTAGCAAATGCAACCCGGAGAACTTTTGATGAAACCAAAACCAAGGAGCTTCACCCTCCCGCCGTCACTGGGAGCATTATCGAGAGACAGCCCTGTCTCGGCGGTTATAGGCCGTGGCGGATTGTGCAGTGAAATCAGGAAAACACAGAGGAAAGGGCGAGTCCTCTCCGTTCACGCTGCCTTCCCCACGGATGTCACCGTGGGGAGGTTCCCAGCCCATGCCTCGGGCTGTGTGCCCCCACACACACACACACTTGTCTCTGAGTACCCCAAGGTAGGATCTGTGTAATTCTCAAGTGTCTGACACCTCCACGCTGGAGGCAAGGGGTAGCATTTCCCCAATACTGATGCTCATCAAGCTGGACTTCTCCTCAGAAACATTTCAAGGGGCAAGTACCTCCCCGAAAAGTAAATGCTAAGTTTCCCCTAGAAACAGTCTTTGAAGTAGGCAGAAAGAAAAGTGGGTGCAATCAGGGACTGCTTCTCAGTGGCTGCCTCCATCAGAGGGCTTTTCTACCTTGCTTGCTGCCCGATGACCCTTTTTTTTTCTTTTTTTTTTCTTTTTGGGTCACACGCGGCAATTCACGGGAGTTACTCCTGGTTCATGCACTCAGGAATTACTCCTGGCGGTGCTCGGGGGACCATATGGGTTGCTGGGAATCGAACCTAGGTTGGCTGCGTGCAAGGTAAACGCCTTACCCACTGTGCTATTGCTCCAGCCCCTCCAATGACCCTTTTGATGTAGGGTTTCTCCACAAGATTTCACCCCTGTAGTTTGTGGTGGTATGAGGGTTCCCTGAGTGCCTCTGTACCTCAGCTCTGGCAAGTCCCCGGATTCCACGAAATTAGGTCTGAAATTCCCAGTTTCCTCACAGTTTCCTGGTCTGCGGAAGTGCTGAGGCCCTGCACATAATGACTGCTCTGTAGGCTATTTTCCGGCTGTCATTTCCAAGGAGCTCTGCTGAGAGTTGGGGTTGATTCCGAGAGAACTGAATATTAGCTCTTTTGAGTGGCTAAACAATGCCTGCCAGCACACAGCTTGTCTTTCCAACAAGGAGTAACTTGCATGGGGTGGCAGATTCTAGCCAGCGGGCTTTCCCACACGGCCGGCCACGGTAATCAGCTGGTGGTTGTGAGTGCGCCGCATTTCAGAGCTGTAGAGAGACTGACGTCTGCAGGGAAGAAGCAAGCCACTGTAGGCCCTTCTGCTCCCCAGGAAGCAGGAAGAAGGTCCATCTCTAGAGCCAGCAAGAGGAATCGAGGGCTTCAGGATGAGGGTGGACCCAGAAACGGTGGTAGTCAGGAAGAATGGGATCAAAACAAGAGTGAGAAATCTGTGAGCCGCAATCAGGTACAACATTCCAAACTGCAACCCCATGTGCCAACCAGAAAAAGCTCTATGAAGTGAGCCGGAAGAGGTCTATCATGCACAGCTTAATTGTTGGTGGTTAACATTCTAGAGTGTTACAGGACGTTTTCGTATATAGCAATAACGTTACTGTTAGAAAGGCCAGTGTTTTTATGAGAACTGAGTTGCCTGCCCATCCTCAAATGAGGGGTTCAAAGATGAGAAGCAAAACCCTTTACTGAGCAATGCCTTATGTCCCTCCCTCCTACCTCCACCACTCTAACCTCTCCCGAGTCTCTGTGTCATAGTAGCGGAAGCTCATGTCCTGCCATACTGCCAGCATCCGGCCACTGGCACACTGAGGCTTTTAATCGTGCGGACAGCCTCCTTGGTGTGGCACAGAGGCTCTGCTTTCCCAGACTCACCTCCTGCTATCTTGCGCTCCTGGATTTGTAACCCTTTCCAATCTCCAACTCAGGCTCTGCTCCACAGCCTGCTCCCTGAACCGGAAGACCCTTTTTTTTTAATTGAATCACTGTGAGATACAGTTACAAAGCTTTCATGATTGAGTTTCAGTCATATAATGATTGAGCACCCATCCCTCCACCAGTGTACATTTTCCACCACCAATGCTACCAATGTCCCCAGTATCCCTCCTGCCACCTCTGCCCCACCCCACCCCTGCCTCTATGGCAGGCACTTTCCTTTTTGCTCTTTCTCTAATTTCGGGCATTATGGTTTGCAATACAGATATTGAGAGGGAACCTGAAGACTCTTATTGTTTTGCAGTAGCTGCCCAATAAGTATTTGCTGAACAGATGGAGTGGGTTAAGCGAGCATGAATTTGGTATATTTTTTCTTTGTTTCTTTACTTGTTTTTTTGGGGGCCACACCCAGAAATACTCAAGGCTTACTCCTGGCTCTTTGCTCAAGGATCACTCCTGGCAGACTCAGGGGACTACAAGGGGTGCTTGAGATCAAACCTGGGTCATCCACATGCAAGGCAAATGCCCTACCTCTGTATTATCATTCCAGCCCCATGAATTTCGTAACACTGCACTGTTGTCCCATTGTTCATCGATTTGCTCGAGCGGGCACATGAATTTGGTAAATTAAAGAAATTTCAAGTACCTATAACTGACCTCTGAAAACCATGTATAACCTTTATTTTTCAATCATAATATGGGCTGGAGCGATAGCACAGCGGTAGGGCGTTTGCCTTGCACGCAGCCAACATGGCCAACCCGAGTTCGATTCCTCCGCCCTTCTTGGAGAGCCCGGCAAACTACCGAGAGTATCTCACCCGCACGGCAGAGCCTGGCAAGCTCCCCGTGACGTATTCGATATGCCAAACACAGTAACAACAACATGATGGAGATGTTACTGGGCCCACTCGAGCAAATCGATGAACAACAGGAGGACCGTGACCGTGACCGGATATGACATCAGTCCTTTTATTATAATTAGCTTTTATTTTTAGAGCAGTTAACACTCTGTAGGTCTTCTGGATTAGATTTCAATTCTTGGCTGGGTCAGGGAGACAATAGATGGTGAGGAGTGCAGATCGTTTTCCATCCCTGACATCACGTGTCCCCCATCCCTGGAGGCCCCCCAGCCAGAGCAGAACCACCTCATCCATCCCTAGCATTGAGTCACGTAGAAGACAAGAACTAGAGATACAGAACAATGAGAACATTGGGGGCTGGAGTGATAGCACAGCGGGTAGGGCATTTGCTTTGCACGTGGCCTGACCCAGGTTCGATTCCCAGCATCCTCTGTGGTCCCCTGAGCACGGCCAGGAGTAATTCCTGAGTGCATGAACCAGGAGTAACCTCTGCATATTGCTGCATGTGACCCAGAAAGCAAAAAAGAGAGAGAGAGAACATTTTCCAGTGAAAATTAACTACCAAGAACTCAACATATGTATATGTTTATATATAATATGTATATAATACATATGTTTATAAATGTGTGTACATATCAGTATGCATGCAAACATGGTTGAAGATATATGTGTGTCTACTCACACAAAAACATACATGTGCACCTATGTGCAGGTGTGTGAGCATGATCGTGTATATGTCATATGCCGTGTGTGTGTGTATGTGTGTGTGTGTGTGTTTGTGTGTACATGCGCACACATGCATTGCATGGGCAAGTATAGATCAAGTTCTGGTACAAATCTACGTGATGCCTTAAGGAGGGTCTTCTTTATCTAACACTTGCTGCTGAATCAGCATGCCCTTCCACCACCTGGGGCCTGCCCCTAGAACTGCCAGGCGCCTGGCATGGCGCCCGTCACGTTTCATCAGCTCTTGAGAAGACTGAGTCTGCCCAACTCAGCTTTGCATGCATTCAGGAAGCATTTCCCAGATGCCTACTGTGTCGCCATGTAGAAACTAGTTAAGTGTGTATCACTTGGTGGTGATGTCTCAGTAACGCTTTCTTACACTCCTCCGCCATCCCTCCAGGATCCATCCCAGCCTCCACCTCAGCACCTCTGCTGGCAAGTTCTTTTAGTGAATCATGGAGCTCTCTCACACGAGGCGGTTCCTACATGGGTTTCTTTCCATCAGAGACCTCTCAGTTCACTCCCCTAAACCATGACAGCTCATGCCTCAGGAGAGCCACTCCCGGAAGGGACCCTGGGGCCAACTGATGGGCCAGGCCTAGGAGCTATTTTCAAAGCATTGCTGGTTACTCGTGTCATATCGGTGTTAGCAGGGAGAGTGTTTGCTAATACAATGTTTTTGTCCTGTCTTTTAGCTCACATTTTACTATGGTACTATAGATCGTTGGTGTCCAGTAAGGTACTATGAAGACATAAAGAAGGATTTTCCAGAAGGAGATATTCGACTCTGTGAGAAAAAAATACCTCATGCATTTGTCCTCAGGGATCATCAGGAAATGGCCACGATGGTAGCTGACTGGCTAAAGGATGATCTGTCCAAAATATAAGCACTGCCACAAACTACCAGACTGACAGCTAATGAGTGGTAGCAGTGTGCTGCCTCTTCGCAGTAATAGCATACTTAGTTGGTAATTACTTGATTTTAATGTTTGACACTAGAAGGAAAAATTTGAGAATCACTTGGCTTCAAAATAACCAGCTCTCCCGAAACCAATGTAATGTTAAATGTCAGTTATACCTCAAAAAGACCAGCTCTTAGCCCTACCCTGTGCTTCCAGCTGAAGTAAGCACCAGTGATAAAATAATCCACAGGTTTGAAAATGCATTTTCTGGGGCTGGAGCAATAGCACAGTGGGTAGGGTGTTTGCCTGGCACACGGCCGACCCGGGTTCTGTTCCCAGCATCCCATATGGTCCCCCGAGCACCACCAGGAGTAATTCCTGAGTGCATGAACCAGGAGTAACCCCAGTGCCTCACTGGGTGTGACCCAAAAAGCAAAAAAAAAGAAGAAAGGAAAGAAAATGCATTTTCCCAGGCTCAGAAAGGCTTGCAACAAGATGCCCTGTGGCACTCTCCATTTTTTTAGATAGGCAGGATCCTGGTAGACAAAAGGAAGTCCAAATGTAGTTGATACTTATAGAATAACAACAGTATAGATTAGGCCCTAGGAAATATAAAAGATGGGTGAATGCTAATTGTTCAGGAGGTCTTTGAAGACTGAGATCATGTGGAAGAGAGATTCAGTTCCACCAGCAGGAAGCAGAGAGCCAAGGGGAATCCAGGCAGTGGACCCAGAGCTCCCTGAAGGACAGCTGGAGACCGGCCGAGCCGGACCTCATCAGAACCAGACTGATTACTGAGACAGCCCCCAGCCCCACTGGTCACTTTTGGTGGCACACACCAAGTCAGCATTTGGTCTGGCCACTGGTAGCGTCAGCCATAGCAGAACCAGCAATAGGAGAGGCACTGCTTGTGTCCAGCTCTCGAAGCTTCCCCGAGGTGTGTGGCATTCGCATCTGCCTGCCATGGATGGAGGAGGAGACCCACCAGCCAGGGCTCTAGTCAGCTTACCAGAGATGAACTGTTCCAGGTCCCGCCCAGGCCATTCAGCCCAAGGCAGCTTCAAGCTCTGTGCCAGGGGCTGAGCTCGCTCGGGGGCGTCTGCACCCAGGACAGGGAGGCAGCGGGTGCCCCAAACCACGCCTCAAGCCTGTGGTTAACATATGCACATGCCGTGCATGTGTGGTGTGTGTGTGTTTCTTTTCCATAAAACTGCATGGAAGATGAACTGTGAGCCAAGCACTGTGCTCAGGAGTGAGGACAGAGTTCTGAGCCACATTGGGATTCTCCTGAAAATCTTCAAGTGATGAAAAAAATCCTCAGATTTCTTCAGGATTACCATAAATGAGTTCTCCATCTCCACATTAGCTTTGTTCGATATTGCTCTATCGGTGAACCCAAACAAGTCCCTCCATTCTGTAGCTTCATGTTTTCTGGGGGCCCGGGGGCCCGGCCAGCATGCTCCCTGCCCGGGAAGGACCTGCAGTGCCTCTGCTTCCCCCCACACCCACCCAGCCCCTGGTGCAGAGCCGTTCAATGCCACTGCTTCCTTGACCACTGAGGATGGATCAGAAACGCTTGGTAGTCTCCTAGAGAGAACCCCCCCCCCAGCCCATGGCACTTGCCTTCCTTCAGCACCCCCAAATGCCATCGTTCCCCTCAAAGCTCAAAGCCCCTAGGAAGAAAGAACCAGCTCTGGTGCTGCCAGCCTCCTGGAGAGGGCTGGCTGAGCTGCCATCGTTAGGCACAACTTGTACTGCAGAAAGAGAGAATGACTTCTCGAGGGGCCAGATGAGCCCCTGACAGAGACAATACGGCCGGGGGAGGGGACAGGAGACCCGGAGGCAGGCACAGAAGTCACTGTTGGCATCTGTGTGAGGAGGGCACAGAAGTATGTGAGCCCCGCAGGAGCTATGGGGGCGACTCCCCACTCCTTCCCCCACGCACGGAAGCCATCTCGGGTCACTCAGGCTGCCTGGGTTCGGAATCACTTCTGAGTACATGGCGGTTCTCTTAGCATGATTTCACATTACTCCATTATTTCAAAAGTCCACCAGCTTGCGGTTGTTTATGGTCAGTTTGGGGAGTTTAAACATAATAAAAAGTAAAGTGATCTCGGCAAAGGGCAGAGCCTTGTTTTCTGACACCTAAACATCAGATTGAATTTTTGAAATAAATGCTTGCACCACGCTTGTGACCTTGCCTGGCTGCTCTTGGCATGTGTGGGGCGGGGCAGACCCTGAGCAGTCCGAGCGTCCCTGGGTTAGCGTCTCTCTGTCCAGCCGGAAACCTCCTTGCTCACTCAGTGCTGCTCTGAGAGAAGAAACAGCTCTCAGTCCGAGGCTGACGTTTCATGAGGAATGAAAAGCTACGTGCATGCATGCATAGGGATGAGGTAGATTAGGACATGTGAGCACTGGAGGCTGGACTGTCTGTGGGGTTTGTTTTTGTTTGTTTGTTTTTTTTTTGTTTCATTTGGGGGCCATACTCTGTGGTGCTCAGAGATTGCTGCTGGTGGGCTTGGGGGATCATATGGGGTCCTAGAGATTGAACCCCTGTCAACCACGTGCCAGGCAAGTGCTCTACCTCCTGTACTATCTCCAGCCTCTGTGTGACATTTGAGTTGCTTCATCTGATTTGGCCTCGGAACCTTCATTTATAAGACAGACTTAATGATAAGGCCTTCCTCAGAGCATTGAAAGAATACTTTGAAAGAACTAGGGTGTTAAAATTAAACTGTCTACCCAAGAGCATGTTCTCAATAAAGATTGGATATAATAATTATTCTTATCGAGTATCATCACAATACAACACAAATAAGCAGAAGACTTCAGTTGATAAGGGGTGGATATAATCCATGTTCAGAGCATTTTTGCCAGTACATCCCAGTGAGCCACCATTAGTCCTTGCTGGTGGCCTGATGTCCTATGGGCCTGTCTAGAGTCACAGGAAAGAGTAAGGTGGGGACCGTGGCTCTTGTGACCCCAATGTCTGGTGGCAGAGCCCTCTCTCCGTCCACTTCTCCCTCCAGCAGCCTTCCAAGGCTTTGTTTCTCCTCATCCTGTATTGTTAGAAGGTAAGGAGGAACATGAGGAACATGATGAGGAGACCAAGAAACATGACATTGCCACATGGGATTCCCGGGTCATTAATAATGTTTTCATTATTTTTTAAAAAATTATATATATATATGGACAGCTTGGAGCTATACTAGCGGAGAGTGAGAGATGGGTTTTGATTTCCTGATTTCAGTTGTTGGTTTCTGATTCACAGTGTTTAATCATGGAGAAGCAGGGAAATACCTCTGGTGATGTATCCAAAGCATGAGCTCTGTTGTTGATTTTTCTTTCCAATGGCTCAAAAAATAAGAAATACTCTTTGTACTTTACCTGCAGCTTTTTCATATGTTTACTTTTGAAATTAATAAAAGAAAAATATTATTCCTTAAATGATGTTCCCACTTCTTGTGTCTCAGCATTTCCTTCCAGAAAGGGGATATCATGTCTCGGTCATTATTGGAGATATGGGGATCAAATCCTGAATGTGTCGTTTATTAGATGTGTGACATTACACGGACCCCCGAAACCCATCCCCCTGCAGTGTTTCCCAGATTCTGAAAAAACTTGCTTCCATCTGGAGGTTGAGGTGGTGGTCGGATAAGGCTCTGCATGTAGCATTCGGCACTTGTCTGGTTCATGCTGGGCACTCCCTTTAGTGGCCCCTAAAGAAAGGACTAATGGGGCTGGAGTGATAGCTCAACGGGTAGGGCGCTTGCCTTGCATGTGGTCAACCTGGGTTCGATTCCCAGCATCCCATATGGTCCCCCAAGCACCACCAGGAGTAATTCCTGCGTGCAGAGCCAGGAGTAACCCCTGTGCATAGCTGGGTGTGACCCAAAAGGCAAAAAAAAAAAAAAAAAAAAGACTAACAAGGTGCGTCTCCATTTTTTTTAAATAGGAATTCGGGGCTGGAGCAATAGCACAGCGAGGAAGGTGTTTGCCTTGCATGCGGTATCCCATATGGGCAGAGCCAGAAGTAACCCCTGAGTATTGCTGGGTAACCCAAAAAGCAAAAAAAAATAAAAATAAAATAGGAATCGGGGGGCACCCCAGCCACTCCCAGCAGTACTGGTAAAGGACAGGGGGTGGGCCAGGAGGGATATATAGTGCTGAGCCTCAAATTTAGGGCCTCATACATGCTACATATGTGCTCTACCACCATGCACATGCGCTGAGCAGATGTGTGTGTGCAACGCGCACACTTGGTTTTTTTGGATTGTCCTTTCTCTGCGGTACAGAGAAAGACCTCAGGATAAGTTTCTGAGTTGTCTCTCCCAGCCTGGACCTCGATTCTTATGATCTTACTCATGTGGGGCTGAGGGAAAATGGCTATTCATGTGGCTTAGCATTGACCTCCAACCCTGCAATACGCACACACATGCGCACGCACACGGAACATCATCTTACTAAGCAAGCAGCTGATATGGAAAAGCTAAGCATTTCAGATAGAACGTGAGACTTTCTTCTTTGCTCCGGCCTCTTCCTGCAGGACAGCTACTCGTAGGTGAGGTTTCGGGAGGGGCGGGTTGTGGGACTCCGCTCTGGGAGCCTGGAGGCCTAGGGTCTCCTGCAGGAGAGTCACATCCAGGGCACTTTCCCTTCAGAGTCTCGCTCCACCACCCTGCAGGGAAGAGGTCACGTTGGTCCAGGGGGACATGGGTCTGTCATCTTTGCAACCAGAGGCATCTGCAGAGCTGGACGAGGAGCCAGAGAGGAGTGAGCTCTGGAGCGGGAGGAGGCAGCTGTTCTCGTACCTGGAGCATGAGGACTGTGAGTGTTTGGGACAGAGGGTGGCAGCTCAGAAAGAACCTGCTGCTCTCCTGAGTTCCTATCCCATCCCGCCACCCCGGGAACATGTGGTCACACTCGCTGTTGCAGACTAGGAAGGTAAAGGCACAAAGAGAAGTGACTTGCTTCAGAGAAGTCAAGCTGGAGTCCAGAAACAACCTCTATTCAGAGCCTGGATGTCACTCCTCTCTGCAGCAGCAGGCTGCCGGGGCAAGGATTGATGGGGCGGGGGACTCCCAGTCAAGGACAAGGGAGGCCCAGGCAGGCAGGGGGTGTGAAGGATCCACGGTGGGAATCAGCTGCGTGCGTTGGGCTAAGGAGACCAGCTGAGGCTGGCTTTTGTGGGCGTCCGATGGTCTGTGAAGAGGAGGGTGGCACCCGAGGCTGCTCCCGCTTGCTGTGGCACAGCCACTGGTGCTCAGGACACACGTTCGTGGGCTTCTCTCCATGAGCCCTGAGCCCTCCTACCTGAGGAGGCCACTGATTTTTCGAGCAGACCCAGCGCCTGAACACTTGGCCCCAAGCCTGGTGGTTCCTGCCTTGAGAACAGACCCTCCCTGCATACTCAGAGGGGCTCTTGGGCTCCTGGCATCGTCCCCACAGAAGAACTCCCCGTTACTGTAGGGATGACGCTCTTACCCACCTGCCCTCCTGCCTCAGCCACTGCTCCCTCCCCTTACAGAGGCACCTGGAACCTTGTGTGGGAGTCACCTCTGAGTCCCCATAGGCAGCATCAAGACTCACAGAACTGCCACTGCATCCGGTACCTACAAGAACGGAAAGTCATACCACACCCAACAAACCTGCAAGAGGCCCAGGACCAGGGGGTCATCGGGGGCTGTCCCGGGATGCTTGCTGCTCCATGCCGGTCTGTTTCCCTGTCCAAGCTGGCACACACAGCTGGTCAGATTCAGAACATGGGCACTGTGCTTGCTGGCACTGCATGGGGGTCATGGGTGGGTGCATCCAAGAAAAGCCCCTACTCCTACCTCAGGATTCCATGCTCACCCCCTCCCCAAGCTGCAGCTGTGACTTCCATTCTTCTGTGACCAGAAAAACTCTTCTGACATGCGGGTCTTCGTGTCGGCCCAATATGGGGTTGTCATCTGTGGAACGTTAAACCCTTACACCGCGGGCCACATCTCCAAGCGGGAGGCAGAACCACGGTACCCAGGTGCACGGCACGCCTGGCCAGCACGGCCTTTTCACTCTGTCGCATTCCTCAGACACTCCAGCACGGCTGGGGACGTCTCTGGGAAAATTCCTTTTCCCTGCGAGGGGAATGTGACCCTGTGACTGGGCGTTCGTCACAGCCGCGGGGGGGCGCGGGTGCACCTGCAGGCCCCCCCCACCCCTTCCCTCACAGAGGACCCAGAGAGCCGGCCACGCAGATCCACCCTCGGCACCTCCTCCTGCCGCTGCTGGTCACGGGAGGCCGCACACCTGCAGGCCATTAGGACCCTGCAGGCCCCGTGCTCTGCAGTGCACTCTGGGGACATGCACCGCAGCGAGGGGCAGATGAGGGGCACCCTGATTTCTCTCCCTTGGGAGCAGGAGGGCGTAGCCTTCCGGGGGGGGGGGGGCTCCTTGTCAGCCCACCCCCACCCCCAAACAGGCCAGTCGTTGGGTCTTTTCCTGCTTGGACGTGACCAAGCCCCAGGGTGCCTGGGTGCACCCGCCCGGGGGAAGCCAGTTTTTGCCTTCTTGGAACATCAGCAGGGCCTTGAGTCCAGTTCGCTGCTGTGTCTGGGCGCTGGGGTAGACACGTCAATGCCACACGGACTGTCCTTTCTCCCTGGCTCTCTCCTCCACCCACCGAGTGCTGGGGTGAATCACGGGAAACTAAGACGAAGAACAGAGCAAGGGCACTTGGAAGGAAGGAGCGCAAGACTTAAGGAAAGGGCGCGAGAATTGGGCTTTCCTGGGCTTGGAGGCTCGTGCTACCACACCTGCCCCAGGCCGTGGCCAACAGGTGAACATCGTGTTTCTTCCTGGGAAAGTGACCTCTGGTGCAGGCAGGGTGTTTTCCTTGCACGCGCTTGGCCCGGGTTCGATCCCCGGCATCCCATAGGGTCCCCTGAGACTGCCAGAAGTAACCCCTGAGAATTTCCAAGTGTGGCCCAAAAAAACAAAAAAGAAGTGATGTCTTGGTTTAGTACTAATGGAATTAAGGGCCAAAATGAGAATAGGTTTGTTTCCTGGTTTGTGTTTTTGTTTGTTTGAGAATTTTTTTCTGTTATTGGTTTCTTTGTTGTTGGTTTTTGTTTTGTTGTGTTGTGTTTTGTTTTTTTGGTGGGGGAGCGAGCACACCTGGCTCAGGACTTACTCCTGGCAGAACTTGGGGGACAGACTACCTGGGGTGCCCGAGATCAAACCCAGGTCAGCTACGGGCAAGCCAACTGCCCTAGCCTCTACTTTTTCTGGTCCCCCAGACTTTCTTGATCCTTTTTTCACTAAGGGCCTACCACATCACAGGGCCTGGCTTTAACTCGCCACAGGAAGTCACACGCTGAGGTCGCTCCAAGCTTCACAGACAGGGTGAAATCCTAGGCGTGGCCACGAGACTCGGCAAGTCCCCCTGCAGCCTCAGTTGCTATATGCTCCCAGAAATAGGTGAGGAGTTTTCCTCCATTTGCAGGTGACTCGGGAGTAAGCCAGAGTAGCAGGAAAACCCCAGATGGCTGGAGTGTGACCGTGTGCTGAGGTAGACAAGACATCCTACACCCTCACTCCATCCCTTCCTGCCCAAGAAATGTTCATGAGACACCAAGCATGCAGGTACATAACACAGACATACAGAGCACAACTTTACCATTAAAAAAAAATATGTATGTATGTATATGTGTATATATATATATATATATATATATATATAGTTTTAAAACAACAGAAGACTTTTTTGTTTGCTTTGGGAGATACCCAGCGTTGCACAAGAACTACTCCTCCCTTCGTGCTCCAGGACTTCGAGGAACCAAGCATGTTGTAGTAGAACTTGACCTTGAGCCCCACGAGCCAGGCAGGCAGGCACTCAGCCCACTCAACTCTCTCCCCAACCCTCTTTGAAAGCAAAGTTTGAGGATGTTTTGTGTTGCAAGCTCCACATTTCGCTGTGCAAAAGGCCCCCTCGTCCAGTTCATTCTCAGAATTTGTGGGGTGCCCGAAAATAGATCCTTGGCCTTGCAGAGGGAGCCGATGGGCTTTGGAGTGCAGAGAGGGCATGGCCTGAGTGGGCAGGTGTGTGCTCCCAGCCGTCGAGTCCCTCAGGCTGGGAAACAAAGTCAGGCCAACGAGATGGGGCAGCCACAGTGCTGGCTCATGCAAAGTGCAGCAGAGTACCCAAAAGGAGAGCTCCTGTGCCATCACAGCCTCCCAACTGGTCCTTCTCCCTTCCCATGTGCTGGACTCATGCACGATGTCACCTGCGAGTGGTCACTAAGGTCACTAAGACCCGGGGAGTGGCACCCTGGCCGAGTCCCCCAGGCTCACGGACAGCCCCATGTCAGAGCCTGAGGGGTGAGGAGGGGGCCGCGCTCCCCCCTCTGCTCCCTTCCCCCCTCCCCTGGATGCCCCCTGTGCCCCTCA